ACACGAGAAAATCGGGGAATTGACATTGTTTAAACCATTGATGGATAATAATTAGACGCTGTAGTCGAACAAAGATTTCTTCCCTGTTCGCACTTGATTTAGGCTTCTTGTTGGGAATCCTAAAGTCTTCATCTATTTGCATATGGTGAACTAGTGTGCAAAAATTGATATTAGTTGGAATTTGGTAGATAAGTTTAAAAGCTTTGTAATTCCAATGTTTTGTTTCATATCCACAGCTATAATCCAGCACCTAAGATACGTTGTATTCTCTCTGCCTAACCACGCAGTATGACGTTTAGAAATTCGGTGATAAAGATGCATAATTGCACGCCTTGTGTAACTAGCTCCACAATATCAGTGAGACTGATACTTACACACTGAGCAGGATTAATTATACACTTCATCCTTAACTTCCGAACGTAAATCAGGAGTGGTTGTGAGGAGACAGCGAACTTCAGTGGCACTTAATGGTCTTTTTACGATATCCCTCAAGCGTTTTGTTACTATTTCAATGGTATTATCGCCAAGAAACTGAAGTCTTAAGAACAGTGTCTTCTTCTCAAGTCTTGGTACTCTACCTAGCCTTTACTTAAGATTCATATTCTCGTCAATGATTTTCCCTGGATAACTATTTTCACTCAGCATTTGCTTCATAACATCTAGTGCTTCATTAAAGCATTCTTTACAGCAGAGTTTTCTTACTCTCAAGGATCTAACACTTTTTGAGATTGCGTTTGTATTTCAAGGGTACGGAGCTAAAAAAATGAGTATACTGGCGAGTCCATGTAAGTTTTCTAAGTGCATTCGTTCTTACTGTACCATCCTCTTTCCAGTTATAATGACGTCTAGAACTGAAATACTAGCATTTGTCACTTTCTCAATGGTGAAATTTATTGGAGGATGTACGTCGTTAAACTTGTTAAGGACCTTCGTTGCTTCATTCTCTCTTTTCATGATCGAAAATGTGTCATCCATGTAACGACAATAGAATTCTAGATCATTGATTACATCTATCAAAGGTTCATTCTCTTATTCTGGGAGGACAGTGTCAGCTAGAATTGGTCTTAGTGGTGACACAGTAGCCATACCAATCTGTTTGTAGAATTTCTTATTAAATATGAAATAAACATTGCGCATCTGAAAAAAGCCCCTTGATAGATTTGAGAATGCCAATAACAATGTTTTGTCTTATAGTTTTTTCGCATACATTATCTACTGTTTCCATCAGTGGTGCATTAGTTAGTAACGAAGATACGTCAACGATATCATGAATTTATTGTTAACATTTAAATTTTTTATCCTTTGAAGAAATTCGAAGGTATCTTTTACTTTATGTTTGATCGATTCATAACTTAGAGGCTTTAAGAGTGTGACCATCTATTTGGCTATCGGATAATATGGTGTAGTTTAACATATCTAGTATTGCATGGAGGATTTCATCATGAGCAGACATTGGTTAGAAAACCACTGGAAAACCTGGGAGTACTGGATGGCTGTTTCGTTCTAGTTTGGGACTCTTCAGCAGTACGCGCCCACCGGGATTCGAACCCAGGACCTTCTGGTTACAAGGCGAACTCGTAGACCATTGATCCAAATTGCAAATCATTTTTGTGCTCTTTAGATAGACTGAATGATTTTGGTGAAAGAATTAAGTTAACTCGATTGTTACTATAAATATATGAATAGTAAACACATTTGGGTAATATTCCGACCAAAATCACAGGGAAGCCTTAAATAATCTTTGGAGAAACGACAACAATTCAGTGCCTTATCTACTGTTCAGCCGGAACATTTTGTATACACCATCAAGCTCTCCTTCGTAAAGTACTCAGTTAGAAGGAATGGTGAAATCAATCTTGGTAAATTTTTGCTGTTTTATTGCACAACACCCAATTCTTCAGTTAAAAATCAGTTATCTGTAAAAAGAATTTTTGGTCGAGAGGTCAAAACTGTCCATGATGCAAGTAAGCCTAGACTAATAATGCAAGGATACGAGGATCTGAAAACCGGATGTCAGTCCAATCCTCAGCATGACGCTTAATGTAGAGTTTTCAGATTGCTGAAGCAGGTCCATGTGCATGGATTTCATTATTCACCTCCAAAATGGATAAATAGGAAAGTATTAGGACGGGAAAGAAATGTTATGTACAAAGAAAATGTAGTGGGGTAGACTTGGTTCAGACGCAAGAACTTTGCGGAGTTGTTCGTTCACAGAAGCCAGACTTGCAGTATAGCTTAGCTACAAACTAAAGGTCCTATTTACTCCCACTTCAAGGACATTTCGACAGAGATTTAGATAAAAGCCTTTGAAACAGACTCAAGAAAGTAATCAAAGTGTTTTACAGAGAAGGTGTTAGAAAGCGGTTAGAAATACCATTGACAATTTAAGCTAGCTCCTGCTGAGACAAAATATTTTATTTTTCACTTCTAGATTCATGTTGCAACGTAGGTACAATAATTTTATTGGCAATCTTTAACCTCACATAAAAGCTTTGACCATATGTAACCAATCAAATCAGTCAATTTATCTACTGACCAACCATAATTTTGTGTATTTGATATATATATATATATATATTCAATGAAATTCCTAGTACATACATAGAACGCAGTTAGAGAGTAAGGAATTTTTACGCAGCTGTCAGGAAATAAAGGGCGGTTTGAAAAGAATCCTTTACTGCGGGATGTAATATAGAAACAAATGTTTATATCGTTTGTTTGAATGTAAAATGAATAAGTGTTTGAGAAATCCGGTTTTAAAATGTAGAGAGTACGAAGCTGTCAAAAGATCAGTTGTTAATAAAAAACATGAAAAACAGATGAATAACTGCAAGCAAATTTATTCATCAAAGTACTACAGAATATTAATGGAAATCACGCCTTTTGTACTGTGAAAAAAATGCCTGTACCAGTCAGTAGGATTAAAAATATGGTGTAGAATATGGAAGACCCTTGTACAACAAAACAATTGGAAGAACAATAGCGAAAGATAAAATCAATAATGTCTAGAGGCATGTGAACATCTTGGAACCAGTATGAAATAATGTAGAAAATGGGGATATGTGGAATCGAATGAAACATTTGCATAGTACGAAGTCATTAGGTAATATCTGAGCACTGTTTCAACTGAGGACTGAATTACACCGACTTAATGGCATCCATACTTCACAATGAAATGTTCGAAAATGTTATAATGAATTCCACGTAGATTGTTTTGTGAACTAGAAACTGCTAAAAATCAGTGACTGGATTCTGCAATGCTCTTTGCGGAGTTTAACCAATGTTGCATCGGAGGCTAATAAACCAAATGTAGCAACCACTGTCTCATTTTCTGCAATCCCGTTAAATGTTGGGACATACATTTCCCTAAAATACCTCTAGGTGACTAAAGAATGACAAATGTGAACTGAAGATATATCCATTTATCTGATGATTAATATTTCTCATCAATACCAGGCTGCATGCAATCTTATCACATTCCTTTATTTTCTATTCAGTATTATTTTCACTGTTACTAAATCAACGTTGAGATCACCAGAGTGCGTTAGGACTAGGGATGATACTATCCAGTATTCCCTGTGTCGTCAAAAGGAGCACGAAATTCTTCTGATCAGGTGGACTATAAGTCAGATGAGAAACTATAAGGTCAGTGGCGAATTCAGCACCACATTACGTAAGAAGAACATAGTACCTTTTCAGCAGACTATAGTTTGGTCCTCATCACATAATCTGTAAGCAATTTAAAGAAATTGTGAAGTATGGAAATCAAGAATGTGATGTCATAAGCTGGAAGTAACTGATTTAGGCAATCGAAATTCATTTATTGATTGCAGATGGGAAGGTTGTTCCTTGTCAGAGTTAGAGGAGGAAATTTCCCACTTAACGGAATAATTATCATCCGTCAATCGTTTAAACAATATCAATTCCCCGATGTTCTTGTGTCGAACCCAGTTTATAGAGATTATTGCTTCACATCCTTTTGAAAGTCATATGGTCATTGTTGATGCAGCTTGAACCGTGAATAATATGTCTGTGTGTGTGTGCGTCATTCCTGTATACACTAGAGTATGCAATTGATGTACATCTACTGAGTTCATGTAAACATCCAACGATGAAGGTCAACCGTTCACTTCCATTATCTTTTGTCAATCAGAAGATTTTGACTAACAATCCCAAACACTTCACCATCTCCGAATTTCTTACTTCTCATGAATGTAGCCTTCAATGTGGACACTTTCATTGTCTGTAGATTTGGGCGTTGAATTTCCGAGACATTGGAATGCACGAATCCGCTAACTCTACCACATGTGGAACAGCGATCTCGTAATGTTAGAAAGATTAGGCTGGATTTAAGAAGTTGTTCACGATGGTGTTAGATGCATTCAGGTCGATTGGAGTGTACTGAGGTCTCAGTGGACGGAACTGTCTCATCACCATTTACATCCTTCACTCGACTAACATGAATAGTAGTGTAATTAATTCAACTACGACACACAACTTGATAAACATGAAGCATCTCCCACAATCCACTAATATTCCCCGCTTTCCATCTCGGAAGTCAGTGTAATGATTCTGTCGAATCTTCGAGAGCGTGTTAGAATTCTCAAAACTAATCAATCTTGTGCAGTTACATTTCACATGATTCTGAATCAAATGTGTTCGGAACTCCATTTAACAAATAATAGTGCTCCATTGTCTGGCATGTTTGTGTGACAAACAAACTAATGTGGCATGGTAAGAAACGGAGCTGAAATGGGGAAGTGTCGGCGGAGTAATAGGCTTCGACTATTATGTATTTTGACAGAGTTGACTACACCATTGCAATGTGGTGGTGGAACGTGAATGTATAAGTTCGCGAAATCTGTCTCCCAAATTCAAGTAACCCTCGAGTCCTAATCGACTCCACCGGGCGCTTAATGCTAACCACAGTGAATGAGGAAGCTACTCCTTACTCCTTATGTTATATACGATGCTGAGAAAATACACCCACATAACTCTAGTGTTCACAGACATCTCACACTATAACTTGGTCTGTTCGATTGGGATAACCCTCATGTTCTAAAGCTCATCAACTACTATTGTAGTGGCTGAAGACGACAGGATTTGGTGACGGAATTATTTATTTGCAACTCGATACACAGACAAAATACGTCTACCACACATTAGAATCACAATTTGCATATATCTTCGGTACTGTGATGCCTTGTCTTCCGTATTGCTCTTCTTTTGTTGTTTCTCAAGCATCGTTCATCAAATCCATCTCTCCGCCACTCGATATTCTCTACCCTGATATGCATATTAATATCTGAATCTACATATTACTCATAAATCTGGTCATCAGTAGCACACGCCACTCTATAACTGTATGTTGACGGTGACAATTTAAGTCTATGTACATTCGAAATCTTATACGCAGACAATGTGTCCACATGAGAATGTGAAAGTGCAGATGTCGACAACTAATACTAAATTCAACAGAACTGGTATGGACAAATCTAACGCTTTCTGGGACAATACAATGAACATTTCGCTATTCACAAATAATGAGTCATTCTGTATTAGACAGGCTTTGTCCTTCACTGTCTGTAGATTATTATATCCTACTCTGAACTCGGTGACTTTTGCATTAACGAGTAAGTTATCATCATTTTTTATAGAAAAGATGTTACTCTATACACTACTTATAGGTATTATTTATAAGCAACACGCACTCCACAATACCTGTACAACAAGAGAGGCCGCAGAAACCTAGAACAATACAATCCAGAGTTCCTACGCACAAGAATCTTCTATCCTAATCGAACGAGATATCAATAAATACCACAGTATTTTACCATCCCATCACAATCCTCTACCGAAACATGATCGATACATGCTACTTACAAGACGTGCGCATACTCTCTTCACTTTACCACTCACTTTACCAAGGTGGCACTGATCTCAAGGACGCCAACACACATTGATAGTGGTTATGATCATTTTTATTTGTACTTGTATTATTACAACAAATTATAATGCAAAATCACATACACTGGACACAACTGGCAGTGTCACAAAGCAATATAATATAATAAAGAGAAATAAGTAGTTGAAATGCAGAAAAAAGACAAAAGGAAAAAGTAGTTCTGATCACAATTTTCGACAATTCCTGAAGCACGGGAGATAATAATTCGCTTATAAAGTGTGTATTCGTGTGTGTGTTGTGTGTGTGTGTGTGTGAATGTATTCTGGCTGCGTGGATGTACGGGTGTTCAGTGAGTGTGTGTGTGTGTGTGTTTGTGTGCTGTGTGTTTGCATCTGCAGATAAATGCATGTATGTTGTATGTGTATGCACATGTCAGGCAATGTGTATATACAAGCATACAATATTTACTGGATAAGTGTGAGAGGAAACAGAGGTAAACTGAAAAATCAAATCAAATCAAATCAAAAACACTTCGAAGTCAATCAACGCACTGTTCAACAAAATCCAATAAACGACGACCATAGAATTCCGGTTTCACAGAGGTCACATCTGAACCATGCTTTACTGTTTTATACGTTTGAGCTGTACGCTTACGCATTCCATAACGCGTTAGTATATCGATAATAGCCACAAAATAAATCAGTGAATGAGGAGAATCTGCAAGCACGATTGAAATCAACAAGAAACACACAATAATCATGAAAGTACTGAGTGTACACACAATAGACAAATTTTAAGCAAACAGTGTTTACCAGTGGACACACAGACTCCTAACAGAGACAGTCGTTCACAAATGTGCAAATAAAAAATCACACAATCCGTCTCACACGATAATACCCATATATGTTAATGACACACATTATCAGACTTGATTGTGACTCATTTTTCATGAGCACAGAGTAGCTTAAGTGTGGATAATCCAACCGTCAAACATACAGTCAACTTCTCAATGTTTGAGCCGACCGATCTCACAACGGACAGATGATTCAAACACATCTATGACTAAATACTCCCACCTATGTAGCCTCCAGTATCCTCCACTTATGCATCATAATAACATGTAGGAAGAAACAAATCCATAGTCTGTTCTCCTAGAAGCCATACAGAGATCTCCGAAAATACTACACGTGAACACAATCCACTAATACAATAATGAGCATACAGACACACATCGTCACATTTACCATTCACCCAATTAAGTAATGCATGAATCTGTACAGATTCGTTTAGCTGAATCCCCCTCCCCCTAATTTCAACAACCTGCATGTGGCGCTACACAATTATTAGCACTACTGATGCAATTGCTGTCGGCTGACTCCACAACACTCATCATTCGTAATAAACAACTTCTGTCAAAGCACAACCACCACTCAGAATGAAAGTGCAACAATTAAAGCGGTTAAAGAAAAACTGACAATATTAATACTCTTACCGGTTGAACCTTTGATTCCATAGCATTCTAAACTAGGATGCAGATCACCTGAAAACAATTGAGGTAGACAAATCGCTCCGGGTGGACTGTCCGGTGGAGTTAAATCGTCTAAAATATTCACACACACACAAAAACACACAAAACAATGAAGTAAAACCACGTGTGAGGAACACTTGTCTACTAGAGAAAAATCACACCTAGGACAATCAACCAACTTCAAGTTGTTCTATTTCACTTGGTAGGAAGTGAAACTTTCACAAAAGTCAGCTTGTAACACTTCACAACTTGACTTGCAAACACAATTAAAAAACACACTTCATGTAAACACCCATTATTATTATTATTACACACTTAGCATAATACACTTGACAATAACAATAACAAGGACTTTGTGATAATTCACTCCACCATGTCCTGAAACCAATGCACTAACCAATTCCATGTTCACTCGTTAATCATTCAAACACACACGCACACACACACCACACGGCTTTTCATTCGTAATTACAGCCCACTAACAAGCATGCACACTGCATCCTGCACACACACACACACTGCAATTTGAATGTCGCTGACTGACTTGTGAACAACTTGTTACTTACCACTAAGAAATACCGATTTTTACATCGTCGAAACAAACGTCAACAATGTGATTATAATGACTCTAGTGACAATCAAAATTACAACGACAGTCAACAAAATGCTAAAGTGTGAGATGTCTATCGTGGATTCCTGAGTGACTTCCACAAAACAAACCAATAACAGTAAATAGACTGCTCATCCCGACAACCAACATACTCGTCAGTACTCGTAAACGTAAGTCAAACCCTCCAAGTTCACCCACTGTATATCTTGAGTGTTTGATGAGGAATCTACAAGTCTTAGGTTCACTCTACTCCATCACACGGAAACTACACACTAACACACCACAAACACAGTCACACTGACATCCAAGAGGATCCACACTCTATTCATATGACGTACTACTTACACTACTCTCTACCAATCACAAAATGAACAAATACACAAATCACAAAAGGTGTGAAGCATACCAGAGAAAATCAACACAACCTACTCGGAGGCACTTGTGGATTGCTGTCCGGTATCAAAACTCCTTCCTCTTCATCGTCATCGTCATCACCAGTGCTCACATTCCCAGTCCCAACACCACCAGTACCCGATGAAGCCAAGCCAAACGCAATACTCGATCTCGTCGTCGACGGATGGTTATATTGACCGTGTGATACAAGTGTCCCAAGACCATCTCCTGCTGACACCACCTTATCCTCAAACGCTCGATTAGCATCCAACACGGAGTCACCAGTCCCTTCCACGTCATCACCATCATTCTCATTTGAAGTAGTCAATGCAATCTCAGGATCGTGGACACCGATTAGAAGACTGTAATCAATCAAATTGTTTTCTTGTAAAAACTGTCAAAAACAACATTTACGAAACACACACAAGTTATCCATTCATTGAAACGTGTGGAGGAAATAACGCATACAGAGTCACAAAGACTTGAGATCAATTTCACACTGAGGGTAAACGTGAATCACATTACCTGCCCACCATTCTGAAGAGAATTTACACACAACGAAGCGATGCTCTATGATTATCCCACCGATACGCTGTAAAACGTACCACACACATAGACACGTAAGTCTTTGTGGGGACGTTCAGTGTAGAATCTACAGATGTAACCTAACCTTCTTTCAACACACATCACTTCAGAAACACCTTCACCTGGGTAATGCAGTTTCCGGTGACACTAATCCGAGTTTCCTCACATCCATTCACAACAACAAACATTGTGAACTGAAAAGATATGCGACTTTGTGTTAGGAAATCTATTGTATCAGCTTCTTTCCCATTGTGAACATAAATCAGTTCTCCACACCTCACATTCATCCAACAAATGAACGTCAAACATGTGCTGCCCTCTGGCAAAGTAATGATCGCCAATGTGAAAGCAACATACGAAACCTTTGGGACTTTGCTAAGACACATCGTCACTAAGGGTTCAACTTGCACGTAATCATGACCAACTCCCACAGTAAACGAATAAACATCACCAGTAAGAGGGAGTCAGATGAATAGAAAAAGAACGCTCCAATTCAGCACACAGTTAATTAGTGAATATATATTGCGCTGATTAACTTCATACATGTCAGTCAGTCCAACTGCATCACATCCTGTACACACCGTAGTGATGGCGATGGTGACAACAACTTGTGAGTCAACACACACACACATACACATGTATATGCACGTAACCACAATGTTACAAAAGAAACTAAACAATTCACATTTTCAAGTATCATCATTATACCAACACGACAACGATGCCTTTCACATGACCTCCATTGCCAGTGAAAATAAAACTATTCACTCAAAAACAATACACATTCCTCTTCTTCTTATTCTTCTTCCTCCACTTTTTGTCCTTTCTCAGACATTCATTCATATGATCAAAGGAGACGAGATAGTTGAACAATGATCAGATGATGTCAACGCTATCGTCACAAACCCGTGACACTCACTCGTCTACGCAACTATTTCTACCAAGAATGAATAAAATGTAACAATAGTTGTGCTTTCAAGTCTTCTTAAAATTCAACAAGTATGAGAGGTGCCCTCTAAAAGCCATCCATCCACATGAGTGTTTCTCGTGCGTGCTTCAGTCAAAAAGCTCATCAATCAACACCTCCTACTATAAGTATATGCACGTGAGCACTTTCAATGGAGAATCTTAACTGGTGATGATGAGTAGAGCAACAGCAATAAAATCCAATTGAAATAGAAATTACAACAATTAGAGAAACACACTAGAGAAAGACGACGGCTGAACAGAATACATCAATTCCCCTTAATTAAACTGACTCCTGATGTGTTATATCAAATTATTCCGTATCACATCAAGCACCACATTTGTGTCCCTCAATTTACCGACTGCATTCTATGACTCATTGGTTGATTCGATAACTGGAAAAGCATCACCCAATATGGGAAATCAATAAAAGCACACAGCTAAATGTGAATATAGTTTCTAACGCTCGAAGACGGAAAATACATCGATAAGATTCACAGATGGAAAATTAGTAATCCAATAGTCGAAACAAAGGAGAGAGAGAGAGGGAGAATGAACATTTCATCGACAAACATGCAACAAAAATAGGTTCACCAATCATCACTCGTACTGCACCTCGTCAACTGCTTAAGGTACCCATTCGTATTGTCACATGTGACTGTATTCACTCACTCACTCACTTACACGACACTATTTATGAGATTCCTACACATAACAAAACGGTTCCAAGGACTAACGCCACATCCGACTGGTATCAATAAACAAATGACAACATGAACGGATCACCTGTGTCACCTACTCGCAAAACTGACCTCAACAAACTCATGCACATCCAACCATTTGTCACTCACCAGTATATCAGACTCCAAAGTGCTCAACAGCTTCTTCTTCGCCTCTTCACCAATGTGTATCTTGCATATATCAGTCAGAAAATCGGCGTCTTTCAGCGTCGGCAACGGCTTCGACTGTAAAATTACAACACAAAGAAAGGCAAAAAATATATATACACATAACTGACGAACAGAGTGTAGGCTACCAACACAACACAATCACTTCAATTCACTTCAAATATAGGTGCATCATCACACTCCACATGCACCTCGTTCAAAGCACTCACTTTCACTTCACACAACTATGCCTGCCACAACTAAACGGCAATCCCACAAAACAAATAACACTCAAAAAGCATACACACAGCTATAGATAGAAAACGAACATCAAAATTACATCTTTCAGCTGGAGAGGATTATAACTGGAGTTCTCTCACCTGATGTTCCGCGGATGCTGCAACACTTTAGGTAGATACAGTATCCACTGTGACTCTATAACATCTGTGAAATATTGAAGTTATGAAACTTCAAACTGAAGGACTGATTACTCAAAGATATTGTCTGACATCTTCTTCAGTTATCACGTGCTTACGGACGACCCAACAAAATTCTAATACCAATGTAAATTCATTACAAAATGAAAAAGCACCACAACTACTATCTACGAACATACACCGTTTTCTAGTCGAATGTCAAAAGGCCTGTTGGATTCTCAAACCACAACTAATTGGGACATTTCAGGGATAATCAACACATCCCATACACAAACATTATTCCTTCGTCAACTGTAGTAAGCACCTGTATACAATACACATTCATTGACTTTGTTAACTACCCAATCACAATAACACGGCCCCTGTATCTAACATCACTTCAACACATACTTTACTTCACTAAGAATACAATCCAATAGGTACGGAGCAATTCCAGACCATGGTACACTGAACAGATATTGATGTGCACACAGACGGATCGAAGGACAAAAGGTCGTACAACCGTAGGCGCAAACGACACGCTAAACACTTCACCTATTTAAATAAATATTGAAACTGTTAGTTGGTAAAGTCAATTCACCTCAATAAAATTTGACCCTGAAAATACCACACGGAATTTATCAATTTCAATGATGAAATAAATCCGCACGCTCATGCTCACACCTATGTTTCATACTCACACCAACTACAAGATCGATTAACATTTATTTTAGCTAATCAGTACTCATTATCAACAAAATAGTAACATTCTCTTTTGTGCTTATCGTAAAAAACCGTTTCCAACTAGTCCAAGTAATCATTCAACAAAAGTTAATCTGATTCGTCTCAAAAATTCAAGTCATTTTATTGATTAAAGAGAAAAGGGTCAGTTTAAGGACAGATTACTCTTTTCCAACTTAACTTGCATGATAACAATGGATCTGAAGTAGCTCTCGTCATCATACATATACAAGACTGTAGACAAACAAGACGATTTCGTTACTAAATCGCTTGTGAATTGCGAGAGGGTGCATTATGTCACATCTACTTCAAAGTAAGCTTATTGACCTGTGAGCAGCAAACAGAAATGCTGGATTCAACATAGAACTTGGCACCGAAGTGCAGCAGTTCGAGTTGCCACGTTCCAAAATAGCACACAAAGGTAGACAAGAAGATGAGTAAAGAGAATCAATAGAGTTTTGACAAGTATAAGAGTGAAACAGAATGAGTAATGGTAGAGAAGAATATGAAGGTTAAAGAGACTGACAGAAATACCACTAAACAGAATGTCACGCTGTACTATCAACACACGAGAAGACGAGAAATAAACACTCATCACTCCATTCTAACTGTCTAGCATTAACGCGTTCTTGTGAGACCTAAACACCTCGGATTCGATCTTATGCGTTGTCAAACGTGTGTATGACATCAGAGAAGTTTTCCCCTCAATTCGCCAATTCAATCTATGATGGCAGCCAAGTCAATTTAATGTTGAGAAGCAAAAGGTAACTGACAGAGAAGTAGTAATCAATTCGATTTCATCAAATATCAACTAATTCCAATAAATTCACATGAGAAAGTTCTATGTAATCGTCCCACGGATATGACAATGCGATAATCGATCAATACGAGATTAGGAAATATCATGCGATATAAGGAGGACTAGTCATACAAAATGATGACAGTAGAAGTTATGCATCCATGTCAATAATGTTACATTTCCTCGACTAGAAAGTGCACACCATTACCTGGTGGGAATGGACTCACATAAGGTCAATCAGTTATTTTGGTGTATGGTGCATTGTACCCCACAGATGAATTTACATTGGTAATTATTCAAGCAAATGGTGAACCAGACACAACTTGAGACTCTGTGAAAGTGTGTATTCAAAATAATCTCCTCAATGCCACCGAACACCGAGATGCTGTTTGGACACCATTGCTATGCAGTAGTCAATGAGACTGGGTAACGCAAAGCGAATAGGTTCCGCATCAAAAGATAGCTAAACTTCGGTTCAACAACGCCCGATGCATCTACCTTACTCTGTAGACCAATTTTCATAGACTTACTCAACTTTATGAATGGAACTAGTTCCACGAAGTAAATCAAGTGTTTCAACATCTACATCATATCCAACGTTGACAAATGCACGTTACACAAACATATTTAATATCAGTTGGCTGATATGCAGACTGTTCCACCTACGTTTACTTCCCACACTACATTAGATCTAGGTATCACGAGCTGACTGACAAATGCATACACCTATGCTTAAGAATTCCATACTGGTGCCAACGTCTTTCTTCGACATTCACTCAGCTGAAAAATGTCAACACCACTCACTGCTAAACTAATTCCATCGCTTCGAAAACAAATACAACTCAACACTAGCAAAATGTGAAATCAACAGCCTACTGCTGCATCAACATTCGACACTGAGTGCGGACATTTACTGTTTTCCTGGACTGGTTATGCTGAAGACATACACACGGTCAAGCACTTCTACTGAGGACGATGCTGTCATCTTACGTCCAATCGTCCATGCACGATCCTCAGTCAGGTAACCAAGCATTTCCACTCCGTATCATTAATCCTGAAACACACATTTCGTTATGAACAATCGAATTATCGTCTTCATTTTGTCTTGATAGTTGTTTCTGGTCAACTGTCATATAAGTACAACTGCGTTGACGCATAACAGTCGTTCACCATAATCACTACCGCACCACCCTATACCACTATTCACATCGTATAAAAGCATACGCTTGACATGGAGACAAGAAATGTAACACGTTCAACTGCGGTGTTTATTGCTTAAAGTCAATCTAGCAGAAATACACAGATAGAAACTTGTAAATACAGTGAACAATAGGCATATGATAAGGATAGCAACCTCTCAAAAAGGGAAATAGTCACTCACATTCACCGTGCACACACACACACAAATGCACACATTTGCATCTACACGAAAACCACTACGTCAAAACTGAAATGTCAGGCAACAATGTCAACGGGGGAGGGTTGCTTCCAAGTAAACAGAACACAAATAACATAAGACACAAAACAACAGACTTCCAGTTATAATTTTATACAATAACACAAAATGATCAGCCAAAACATCACAACGTATTCACAGAAAACACTGGAATACAACAAATGATTAGTTGATGTGGTCAAACTTATCATGCACATATTCTCCCACGATCTCAACGACTACTCCGAGTTCACAATACTCTAATTCATACATCTCACCATCGCTACATGAATAACTCTCATGACAGGAGTAAAGTATTAATAAACGGAGGCATATCAACAGAGGCACCTAGATTATTCATTCCAACTAACTGTCTCTGGCTGTCTGGATTCAACATAGAACTTGGCACCGAAGTGCAGCAGTTCGAGTTACCACGTTCCAAATAGCACACAAGGTAGACAAGAAGATGAGTGAAGAGAATCAATAGAGTTTTGACAAGTATAAGAGTGAAACAGAATGAGTAATGGTAGAAAGGAATATGAAAGATTACAGAGACTGAATACATCTGCGTAAACCATTGACAACGATTTTGAGTCATGTCACCTATTGTCTCCAGCCATTGATTCTTAGAGTCCCGAGGGCCCCAACCCGGAAGTCTGCATCTCCCTACCTGACTCAGTCTAACTGTCAAGGATTTCATGGATTGATGTCATGTTTTAGTTTGGCCACCTCTTACTCTTTTCCAACCTGTACCTATATCAGTTAGCAATGCCCATCGGGGGAGAAGGTGGTTAGGCATGCGCAGCACGTGACCTAGACATCTCAATCTATGTAACTTTATAGCCTCGTCGATTGATTTCCCATCTTTGCCCAACACTCTACGCCTAATGTCAACATTACTTACCTTATTATGCCACCTAACGTGAGAAAGAGATAGTAGACATCTATGATCAAAAATAGTCAACCTTTTCATGTCTTCAACTCGTATTGGCCATGTTTCAGAGCCATAGAGAAGGACGGAGCGAACTGCTGAGCAGTACACACGTCCCTTGGTTGATCGTCGGATGTAACGTCTACGCCAGAGATGGTGTAAGTTAGAGAAAGCAGCTCGAGCCTTTTGGATCCGTGCTGAGATTTCGTCGCCAATCAATCCGTTGGTGCTGACACAACTTCCCAAATAGGTGAAGTGGTCAACATGTTCTATCACTTCACTCCCTATCACTAAGCTAGAGGTAGGCGTAGTCCAGTCCTGTAGCAGCATCTTACATTTTACAGGGGCGAATCGCATGCCAAACATACGAAGATTGCTGCTCAAGGTGTTCAGAAGACTGCACTTTGTCAGCATCCTCCCCTAACAGGACTATGTCATCTGCATATTCTAAGTCCATAAGACTATTCCCTGGTAACAAGTCGATTCCTAAGTCGTTAAGTTCAGTTAAGGATACTTCCATTAGCATATCTATGATGAAGTTAAACAGAAATGGGGAAAGTGGACATCCTTGACGGACACCACTGGTTGTTAACAATTCAGATGACAATTCCCCATAAGCCCTTACACAGCTACGTGAGTTTGAGTAGAGTGCCTCGATTAGTGCAATGTACTTTCTTGGCACTTCCTTCACAGTCAAACATTGCCATAGTACCTCTCGACCCACGGAGTCGAAGGCCTCCTTCAAGTCAAGAAATATGGCAATTGTTGGATGCCTAAAAGTGTGTCTATGTTCTAAGATCTGTCGGAGAGTGAAGATATAATCTATGCACCCTTTACCTGGCCTAAAGCCAGCTTGATTTTCCCTCGTTTGTTCCTCCCGAGTTCTGCTTAGTCTGTGCATGATTACTGAGTCTAGGATTTTAGGGACTATGTTCGTTAGGCTGATCCGCCGATGATTCTCACATGAGGACTTGTCTCCCTTCTTGAATATCGGTATAATAAGTGACTTACCCAAGTCTGATGGAACCGTCTCTGATTCCCCGACGTTACCTAGTACCTTAGTTAATCTACATACTAGTATGTCACCCCCACATTTAAACACCTCCGGAATAATTCCGTCGGGTCCTGCCGCTTTGCCTCGTTTCAAATTACAGATAGCTTTTGTGACCTCACTTACAGACGGTGGACCAGTGTCTATATCCCATTCGGGTGTGTTTTGGATGGCGGGGAGATTTAGTGTGGCTGTAGGCAAGTTAAATTGTTCCTCAAAATGTTCTTTCCAGCATTCAAGGCGTCTATTCTGAGAGCTAATTAAGGAGCCATTTTTCTCAGAAATAGTCTCACTTATGATTTGCCTTCTCCCACCCGTTTCCCTGATGAGTTTAAAGAGTTGCCTAGTGTTGCCTATCGCCGATGCTTTTTCCATCTCTTTCGCTTTTGTCACCCACCACTGTTAACGGCCCTTGCGGAGGCTTCTCGTAAATTTCCTTTTGTGTAGCTTTCGCTTCTCATTGAATTCGGAGCTCGCCGGAATAAGTCTTCTAGCATCTATCATTTCGAATGAGGAAGTCGAAATTCAATGGTTTTTACTCACCTTTGGATTTACCTTATTCACAGCTTTTACAGCTGTATCTATGGCTGACTGAATATTCTTCCAGGCTTCTTCAGGGCGTCGAACTCAGATATGTTTTTAGCTAGTTCTTACTCAAATAGGGACTTAGTTTCCTGATCGAGCTGGGGACGTGATGGGTTTACCGCTAGCTGTTTGCTGCGTCCGTTCAGTCGTAAGCACATACGAGCGCGGACCAGTGCGTGATCGGTATCTACACACGTGCTTCAGAAGGAGCGACAATCTCCTACCGACCCACGCCAACGATAGCTTATTGCTATGTGGTCTATTTGTGTCCAGCGTTGGTTTGATGATGGGGGTCGCCAGGTCAAACAGTGTCTCTCCTTGTGTTTGAAGTTAGTGCTTACAAGAAACAAATGATTATCTGAACAGAACTGTAGGAGACGGTCATCGTTGTTGGTTCGCTGGCACGGAACTCCGTAGGTGCCACCGACATCCTTCTGATATCGACACAATTTCCCTACTTGAGCATTAAAGTCACCAGCTAGAACTGACAACTACTACAACCAACTGATTGACAAACTATGTAATTTATGATAAATGACTGGTCATCGAAGGCAGTGACTAACCTCTTCCCATCACAATCTGGCACCGTTGTTGTGAGTACAACTATCACTGTAGCTGAATTGGAGATACTATTCGCAGCAAATTAGCACATTTCTACATGAGAACTGCGGAGTCAGTCACGTGACTACATATACCGTCTACTAGACACGGTCTCCAATCTCTTCCACACAAAGCTAACTTCAACAAAGTTATTTCACCTACTACAATCTACCTTCATGTCAACCTCATTAACATCAAAATTATGACAGTGATGGAAACAAGTAAAATGTGCACGAATGGTTAGGAGGCATGCATACACACACACACACACACAAGTGAGCGACACTTATACTAGACACAGATGAACGTCAAGACAGTCAATACAATCATGATAGTGACAACGACGATGAAAACTAGGCAGACTCACCTTCTCTTTTTCGTTAGCTTCGCGATCCACAGCTGAACCCTAATTATGAGGACAACGATAGTAATATCATAGACTAACTGACTTGTTATTCAGACATCAAGAAAGACGTTCAGTACACGCAGAATTGTTGACAAAGACCGAGAAAAACAAACTCTTTTCAATCCTAACGGTCACTACACATAAGACCACCTTATATAACCACAGAAAACATTCACAGCAATATTAGTTGTACAGGGAAGTGAAACATTCCGTTCAATTGAAGGTTGGTAATGGCTGAACATAGACACTGACACTATTATTGTGTAGAATGGGTTGGGTCTGATTCTCAAAATGCCACATCTCAGTCCTATTTAAGTAGCATCAGGAAATAAAGTTGGAGAGTGGTAACAATGTTAAGCACTGACATATTGAAGATGTAACATTCGTCTGGTTCTCTCAGTCCAAACACAATTTGTTTTTCAGAATCATATGAAAGGATATAGCTATAACGGATGTATTGTGGTCAAAACACTTTTCGATAAACACTTTCACATCGCTATCTACCAGTTACATCTATCTATGCCAAACTGTCACTCAGCAAAATAAAACATACTACAAAAAGTCTTATGAATTCCTTTCAAATATTATTTATGTGTACACACACAGGAATGGACCATGAGAAAAATATGGTTATCAATCGTTTCCGAAAAGTAAATCATATACATATTTCCTATAATTTAGAATCCTAGCGACACAAGATATTTACACACATCTCTCCAAACATGTAGAAGGCTTAAGAAATTGGGGATTTTCGTTTCATATGGGAAACCCAAGGCCAGTCATGCATTTGACAGTTGGGAAGAGAATCCGCTGCTCAGAACGATATTTAACTTATTACATGAGACTAATTTAGGCTATAAATTCATTTCCCTCAACTAGGAACCTGCATCACTTATTGTCAATAAACAGAAATAACATTCCGTAATTTGTACAATAAAGCTAACTGAAAATTAGATAAACACTTGCCCTACACCTCATGACAACCAGGATTCTTAGCTCCTCACCTAAAGTGCCGACTCATACACGTAACGCGCATGTGTGATAGGAAACGGGGTGCAGCTACTCACAGGTGCGAGTGTACAACTTTTTCATCCATGTTTTGGACAATCTGATAACCACCTGAACACGACATCCACTGAGAGAATTCCCAGACAATATGATAAAATCAAATTGTGTAGTGAGTGATCAGTTCAAAAGCAAATACCAACAGTGAGTGTCATTAGATCAATCAGTAAACACACACAAGCAAAATGGCCTGCGAATCTCTCACATGACAAAATCAAACTTACACCAGAAAAACAATTCAGCTGTGAAAGAATCAAAGTAGACAGTGTCATTCATCCTTCTGTTACTCACAGTAAGCGTTATTTATCTATTACGTGTCAGTGAAACACGTTAGTCTGTCAGTAGGATTATTAGCTTCAAAATCAAATATGTCAGGAAGTCGGTGAGCAAACTGGGGTTAGGTGTTAGGCAGCCAAACTCAGAAGACACAGCAAAGCTGGAAACCAGAATAGGTGTGAAATCTCAATACCATCACGGCACACATACAAAAAGAACTGACTCCCACCAATCCACACTTGTCCAAGTCATCCAAACACGTGAAAATATGTGTTCAAAACGAAACATCAACTCTCTATAAGCAAGTGGTGTGGGTACATGCAACACACTGGAAACTAAAAATAAATTATCCCTTACACCTATACTGTAAACACACTAAAACGCCTACAAGTACGAACTCAAAATATACACGCTACTTCATTCATAGTAGGAGCATACGACAGTGTTAGAAGGCAATAGCTCACAACACAAAACAGGTTAGGAGGGGTGAAACAGTAGGCCAGTATAACTACACTTATATCACATACACCTGTTGTGTTCTGTACTGAATACTTTTTAATCCGCGGATAACGTCTATGCTCTTTGAATATCGCTAACACAGGCTTATCAGGGTGATCTTCGGAAGACGATAACTGACTCGATCCATGGGGGATGAATGAATGAACACTTACAGAACGTTTCGGTTGATGACTTGGAAACACAATGTTCTATAAGATAAAAATGTGAAAAGTACATGAGCACTCAAAAATCACTTGCACCTGTCATCGTAAAAACACACAAACCTCCATCTTAAAATAAATTCACGCCTCTTATGCACATAAATCACACAAAGTAATCTCACAAGTCATACCTTCAGGTCATATTTCTTGTGGATAGCCAGTCTCGGACTGAACACATTTCTCATAACAAGGATATACGTCTCTTGGTCGTTCACAGTGAGTCGATAAAGTCCTAAGTATTGAGGAAGCAACGTCTGGCCATGTCCTTTGACAATATACTGAAAATACGGAAACACACAGAAGCACATCATTTATAATTATCGAACATGTGAATACTAAGTTTTCCATGTACAATAAAGAACGCACAAATACAAGTTGATGATCTCGACTCGTAAATAATAAACATTCCTCAGTCAATCCAAGGCAGATTAGCTGCTGTGCTACTCACAAGATAATGACTTTAAGTGCCAACTTATCAGAACGTAGGATTTTATTGAGAAAATCTTGTTCTCAACTATAATTTTGGCACTGACCTAAATTTTGAACGCAAATTCTATAATATACCACACCTCAACGTTTTTCGAAAAACAAACTATGAACTGCTAAGGTTCATGTACATTTGTTTTCTATCCCAAAGACAGTTAACAATCCACCCTGTGAGAAAACAAACTTTACCTTAAATAAATCCATTCACATGCAACACGATATTGTTACGTGCTACTTTGAGGATAAATTGAGCATCATATTTAGCGAAACATTGAGATATGCTTCACACACATAGTAAAGTTTGCAGAGAATTCTACTCAACATAACTGTATCATAACAGACACAATTCGATGCATCAACACAGTCAATTCCAACTCGCATACACCAACTTCAGGTTATGGCACAATGATTTTTGTCGGTTTTTATCATCCAAGATGTCAAAACAAGAATAACCCAATCCGCCGAATATGACATTTCCCTCACCACCACTAAAAGACATACTGAATCCACTCAAATAAGACTAGTAAATGTATACTTAAGATTAAAAAGTGTCGACGTTCCAAATGTATAGCAGACAAAACACAGTCTGTGTGAGGTCGAATACACACAGAGAAAGCTCGTCTTTGTAGTGCTTTTCGCATTTAAAAGAAATACTCAACACATAATGAGGAAACATCGAAAACGCCAGATAAGTAACATGAAACAGCTGATACGATAGCAGACATACTAATGGCAGAAACACATCCCTATACTGTGGATGCTTAGAGGCACCATAATTCTGACCATACTAATCTTATGACAAGGTCAAGCAGAACTGCACTAACAGGCATACAGTTGAAAGACCAATCCATCTAACGATACCAAAGTCAGACATCTGACCTGTAGGAGAACCTGACATGTTTGACAGAGCATGAGCGAACGAGGCAGAGAAATACCACCACTCCATGAAGTCACCGAGTACTAATTACAGTCACATAAATGCAAACTAACTGATTAGAATGCTCGCGAGCATACATATTACGAGTGACGATATCGGAATAACTTGCAACTCATACTTCATCTGTACTTTTATAACCTGCTTTCTAGTTTCATTGTGATCGAATGTGAATACTGAAACCAGTACATTCTTTACTAGAAATACATCAATTCGAAAACAAACAATATACTCTGCTAAATCTTTCACAACAAAGACTTACAGAATAATATTCTTCTAGCATATGATGCATTTGTTCCACTTCTTCAGAACTGATCGTTTTCGCCACGAATTGACGGTTGTAGGTGACCAGAAACTTCGAACCAGATTTACCTCGTGTACTATCCCATAATGGTTGATATCTGGTGAAAGCATCCTGTCGGATAAGTTACAAAATGACAGTCTCACTAGTGTGATAAGTAGCTGAAAATGATATTAACTTACACTGTACCGTTCCTAGCCAACGATTTACACGAATTGTAGAGCACATGACAAAAGGATAAGAGATTATTTGAGTGTATACTGGGAAGTTTTAACAAGTTACAGACGGCCAGAAAGGAATATTCCTATCAATCACGACTTCTGTTACCGATAGGAAAACAATATAGTCGGAAATTATTTTGAAAGTACGATTAAATTCACTCTGGTGCATATACAATCACCCATACCTAATACATACTTCATCCAATCATGTGATTCTTCCCAGCATACAGTTCGAAGCCAATTCATTCATAAAGGGAACACTAAATGAAGGCTGCAATATGGCGTACTGATTCCATACTCCCCTACAAACTAAACGACCGAACTTGTGCCCTTTCTCAGAAATGTAAATACACTGAGGATTGAATTCAATACTTGTACAACTAAAATATCCATATAAATATATACTTCATGATTTAAGACGACACACTATTTCAAGCAAAACTCTCTCTGTACACTTTGTCAAACAGCCGGTTAATTACATCACTTATAAAATAAATTGCTAACTAACACCCACAACTCAAAACAAGTTGTATTACTTATAAGAGATTCGTTGACCACACTTCAATGTGATCATATTTAGGTTCCCCAAAGATACTACAACAAACCAAACTAAATGACCACAGAACAACGTGAGCAGCTTCCCTCACACTTACCCAATAATCCAGTTTCTTAACTCCAAATCGATCTCGCAACGACTTGAACACCATTGGACAATACTCTTTAAACTTAAATCGACTTGGCATATTTTCCCTAGAAACACAAACAATGACAATTCAACAAACAATGCAACAAAACTTACTTGTTGAAATAGTGATTATTCACTTTCACCTTCATATGAGCCTTGAAATCATCTTTCAGCAATAGCGCACGTGGTTTAACATGATTTAAGGTAGAAAATGAGTAGTTGATGCCCCACATGAGTACACTTTTCAGTGGCTCATTTGCACGAAACAGTTTGAGCTTCTGTTTCACCATCCTCACCTTCTTGTGTTTGGATATGGTAGCCATAGATTGACACTAATGATCACTTAAACTGCTCGGAGTTTTGGCCAACTCCTACAAAACAATAGAGATTATCTTACACATTTTATTCTTCAGAAACTGATAAATTAGCCATATTAATTCAAACAGTACTTCTCTAGCAGTTGGTATTTTAGGCCATGATAGCTTACTATTCTGTTAGCTAAAATGATTGAACACTTATATTCGAAGTCATTGATAAATGGATAACGTTCCAGTGAACGACCCACACGTGTGCATAAGTATTCATATACATTGGAAATGATGATCCCACCCATCACTGACTCGCATGATCTGATCTTTTCTGAAGTTTCATATCTAGTTTGTGACTGACTTATTCAAACAATATTGTTCAGTTACCTGATAAACTTTAAACTGGCATAATGGGTCGATGTATATGGAATGAACGGTTTAGTTACTTGATGCCTAAGGCTACATTACATATAATTTTTAAATAATGGATGGGTTGCCAGGCGTAAATTGACCTAATTTACATTTTATGTACGTAAATTAAACAATCCTTTGAAAACATCAAACACATTAACCATCTAGGAGTGTATTATTATATGGATTACCAGCAGTTATAATATATGAAGAATCAGTGTACGACGGCTAATCTACCAAACACTTTAGGGTGGTTCAATACCAATTATGTGATTTGTACCTACGCCAATTATTTCGCAAGACAGATACAACTTCCCAGCATCTCATAGACGTTAGAAAAGCAATAGCGCACGATATGAATGACCAAGAGATAACCTGTAGAAATGGCGTTCTACTCAGAACATACCAGAAGGTTAAAAACTTTTTTCACTAGCCTGTCAGTTAAATGACTGAGTAATGTATCGTAAGAACATACAACACTTTAAGGACATCATAAGATAATTATATAGTGGGTGATGGAATTCTAGTTCTCTAGCAACACTGGGAAGCCATATATTTCACTCATGAAGATTTTACTTTATCAAGTATAAGACTTTACTTTGATAAATCACACAATGTTAAATAGTAATAAAATCTCATACATAATAGAGTTATACTCTACCACAGTGCCCAAGTTTTATAATTATATCAATAAGTTTTTTACTGTATTCTTTTGAAACTAAAATCTGTCAGTGTTAGGGAAATTACCAACTACTAGAACACCTAGCATGTTCAATATCTTAAGTCATTGACTGCAGAAGGCAGGCGAAATACCCCGAACACGACTACTATTATTATCTACTTCCGATTATATCATAAAATTTTCATGGTTTCAATACACTGGAAGTGAAGCAAATTAGCGTAAAAATTTACTATTACTATGAATTACACGAGATTTAACAAGTATGGTTGCGATAACTTAGTTTGTTATCTTCTAATGAACACAAACTTTGTTGAAGGCCGAGAAAACCGAATTAGAAACTCTTGATTACGTACAAAGTTATGGGAGACTAGACTAGAAAGTTTAAATGAAATCAAAATTTAAGCTAAGAAATCCTTATTTCAAAGGAGAGCATACTTTTTTAATGAACGAAAAACAGTACCTTTCACTCGCGATTAAATTGTGGGTGTGTTTAGAGATGATTTATGTCAGCCGCTCTGAAACTCTAGGTCACCAGTAAAAAATATAGAGCACAAAAACAAATACAGACAGAGCCTGAAAAATATGCAATAGGTAAAATACAAAAGGTTATCTGAATAAATTCTTCATAATGGCGATGAATCAACAGCGAAAGGAATTCGAGGCTAACAATCAGATTTATTTACAACAACATCCGTTTTTTTAAATCTCTCCTCCCAATATCCAATATCCTGATTACGAGCTAGTATAAACCAGTGATTTCTTTGAGCTCGCTTCTTGATTGTAAGGTAGAGGTTCCAGATCTTCGGTGAACTTATGCGTAGTAAATCCCGCCACTCGACTGCTTTAGCTCTGGTAGACTCCAAGAGGAGTGGTGCGAGGATTGGTCAAGATGTGGTTTGTAGTGTGCAGTATGTTAGGACTCAGTTGCTGCCGTGAATGGAATTTGACCTAACACCCGTTAGTCATTCGGTGTAGTCATAAAAGCAGAATATTAATAATAATAACAGGTTGTAGTGTAGATAATATATAGGGTGAGATAAGTGAAATAATAAAGGTGACCAAAGAAAAGATAGAGTAGTCGGTACAGTGGAGAAGACAGGACGGTCGTGGGATTAGTTGTATGCTTATCATGAAATTGTTCAATTTAATAAGCATAAAACATGCATTTCTGCATGATTGTCCAGCTTCCGCTTAAAAGTCTCCATAGATGACGCTGTAGTCACCGCCGCCGGTAAAGCCTTCCAGAGATCGCAAACTCGAAGCGAAAAGAAATGTGAACGCACTCGAGTCTTTGGTCTCTGGTGTGCTATCCTTAGCGGGTTACCTCTTGGAAGCCTATGATCACTTAATGGCAGGATGCTTTTATTAGGGTGGGTCTGGTCATTTAATATCTTATAGACGGTGATGAGGTCTCCCCTGTGACTACGGTAACTAAGTGTGAAAGGACTTAATTTCTTCAGTCTTTCCTCATTTGATTTGTTGCGGAGGCCGATCACCCATTTTGTCGCTCGTCTCTGGACACTTTCTAGAATGTTAGCATCCCTTTTGAGTAGCGGAGGAGCAATGATATTATGCACCTCAAGGAGTGGCCTCACGTATACAACGTTAAGAATAGTTCGGGAGTAAGAGCTCCCAGCTGCCTATGCATAAAGTGTAAGGTTGCGTAAGCTTTGGCGACGTCCCTCGTGTAATTTACACTGGTGTCTAGCTTTTCTGTTAAAATAAGACCTAGGTCGCGTTCTGATGGCACACAACTCAAGTTCTGGCCACCAAGGGTGTAATTTGCACCATGTGACCTGCCGGAATGAAGTTGCACTACTTTGCACTTCCTTAGGTTGAAAGGCATTCCGTTAGCCAGAGCCCAGTCTCCCAGAGTTTGCAGGTCAGCTTGCAATCTGTCGGAGTCATCCGACGAGTTCATTGCTCTCCAAATCTTTACGTCGTCAGCATAAAAAGCTCAGAGCAGCTCAGCTGACAGGGCAGGTCGTTGATAAAAATCAAAAACATCAAAGGCCCTAAGACAGAACCCTGAGGAACCCCTGATGCCGGGGTGTGCCAGGATGATCGGATGCGGTTGACTTTGGTGCAGAATTCTCTCTCGCCTAAGTAATCTTTCAGCCATGCGAGAAGTGCTCCAGAAACACCCGCCTTGCTCCAAGTTATTAAATCCGGCTAATGATTATTCATAGGTTCATTAGCTAAACACAATGAGTTGTGTTTCAGGGTACAATATGCCTGTTACATTCGTTTTATCAGTGTGAAATGTAGTCCTGCCGGAACTGGCTGTCTGACAGTGGCATTTAAAATGCTATATTAATTTGTTCTGACTTATCTTACTCTCTGCCCCTGCCTATATGGCCCCAAGAAACAACTGCCTTTGCACGAACTACGATCGATGACGTTTCTTATTCCTCATTAGCTGAGTTCAACTTCAGAATTTGGAATACAATCTGCCCTACAGATGTTTCAGCCTTCCTTGAATAATCAGTACCGTTGGAACTTCTGTGTAGTATGTCATTAGGATACCTTGACACACCTTTCACCACGTGTTTTATTAATTCTATCACATATAAGAGAGCGTTTGGCTAGCTGTCAGACAACCTCTTTATTCATTTCAAAACCAGCATTATACTGTTAGCATATACGAATTTTTCAAACTACTGCTTTTTTATTCATATGCTTGCCTAAGCCTTCAGTTTCGTAGGTTACATGCACAAATAAGACCACACTCCCATGGATCATCTGGTATCTCTCTGTATTGTCGTGACGAGGAGACAACTGTGTAGAGAACAACAATATCAACATGAGTAAGACTAAGTGGACTAAGTAAATCCTTTAAGAATATTTTTCTTTCGCCGTAGAACAAATTCACTATATCTCCCCAGTGTGTCACCGTTTCCAAGTTTACTAAATAAGACATTATCCTGTGAGCCAGCCATTTGAATATCATCATGGTGACTGTAGACACAAGGGACTCCAAGGATTTAACCTCTGAAAGCATTGCGTTGACAAAGACAATGTACACTGCGTCTTTAACTCCATCGTCTCCGAAGGTGAATCAGATTTCTTCGGTCCCCTTATCAGATAAAGAATTCATTGCTTTGTGATGAGGGAATGTCAAAGTCATTCCTCGTACTAATTTTGCACCGCCTTTGTTTAGCTCCGGTGTATTTCCCCATCTCTTATCATCACTGCAACACAAGGCTTCATTACAGGACTTGGGGATTCCTTTAATCTCATATGTTGTATATATCCCACGAGAGCTCTAAGTTTATGTTACCAAGCCCCATACAACTGAGATAGCGATCGTTTGCAGACCCCACCACCCGGCAGACCACTCAAAGACATGCTCATTATTGAACTTTTCTGCAGGTCCCAACATTCCAGTCTGGATTATTTTATATTCAGCATAATAATGAGGGTAAAATATCTAAACTCCAATGCTGCTGTGAGGCCTCTACAACATGTTGAGCTATGGACAACCAAAGGTATTAAGTAACTGAGGAATTCAGGAGGACAAGACGAGGAACCAAACAGGAACTATACATTCTTGATGATTTGTAAAACTTTCTTTACCATTTGGACGATTAATGCCCTCCTGTGTGACTAGCTTTTCCCCGCTTCACTTGCACTCTGCAGTGCTTCAGGAAAATTTCAGAAACAAATTTAGACTTCTACGAAATTTAAAACTGTTGGTCAGTAATTTGAGTGATTATTCTGGGACTTTATTCGACTTTTGAACCGACATCTACGAAATCAGAACGGCGGTATGCTCTTGCTTCGTTAAGGATTTCACGCGACGAAAGTGGTCTTGGCTTTTACGTGCTCAAGTCGACAACTTCAAACTATTGGCCTAGAGAATGACTCATTAAGCTTTTAGACTAAGGACACAGCCCCAGAACTTTTGTCGACTTCCAGAAAC